ACGGGAATCCGAGTATTTGGAAAAGCTTTCGAATTAGCTCACAACCGTTTCTGACACCGTCACGAACATTGTTTTTCATCGATCAAATTGCACCAGAATTCAAGATGACCGAAGAAAGAAGAACGATCGCGAGCGACGAACCTTCGCGTTCGACGCCGCCACCACCGTTGACCGTATCCGATATCGCCAGTATGGACATCGAACGTCTTAGGGCTGACGAAGTTATGTGGGCCATGTATGAGCAAGGATGGAGGGACACGTATGCCTCCGTGATTGCTACGCTGGCCGCAGAGCCCCCTCCGCCGCCTGCCGATCTGCGCCCCGTGGCCGTCGGATCCGACCGTGGACAGACGAGCACTGATTCTGCGGCCACCGTTAACCGTCAACCGACCGTCGATTCACGCCCTACGGCTATCGGACCCGTCCGTAGCCAGGCACGCGTCAACCGGAACGCGGGGCGCAGGAACGTTTCCGCTCGTCCGTCGAAGTCGCAAAAACAATCGATTACCTCTACCACTCGAGTACGTTCGTTTTAGAATATTATTTTTTATTTTTTTTTTTTTTCGTGTGTGTGTGTGTGCGCCCACTGTGATCTACATACCTGATACATATATATATATATATATGGTTCGGAAGAATATTTTCGGTATTATTACTCATACAATTTTCTTTTTTTTTTTATAAAACTATATATTCATTTGAAACATTATCAAATTTATCATTAAACATTAAGTAACGCGAACGCGTATAATCATGTAGTTTTCTATTCAACAATCGTAACATATTTTTCACTGTTCGAAAAAGCGATATGAGTGATAAAAATCGTTTCCAAAATGTATTGTACATCTGATTAAAATCGTAATTTAACAGATATTATCCGACGACGATGTGATGACGCAGGAAAGGAACTGCCGCGATTGGGTGAACAGTTTGCAGAAATGCGAGGAACACGGACCTGAGGACATTGTACGCGTTAATATAATAATATTATTCTTACATCCATAAGCGAAGTCGATTTCATTTCATTTGATTTTGGGTCTATTACATGAGCGTCTATAATTTTCATAGTTTTTCAACACATTTCTAACGTTTTTCGATACGATAATGTATTGTGTAAATAATTTATACGTTCATCGGGTACGAATATGACGAAAAATATGTACAAAAAAAATATACAGTATATGTATATAAAAAAAAAAAATACATTTTGTTTTTCAATTTTGAATTAGATTTGTCCCGATTCCGACGTTGACTCGTTCATCTCCATGACCAGCGAAGAAAAAGAAGACGCTTTGTGGCAACCGTTGTCGGTAAATATTATACTAAACATTTCTACAGTACAGTGGAATAATATGATATTACTCGAATTATATTAGCATTGTTCTTTAAATGTCGATTTATCCAAAAAGTATATACGGCTAAATACTTACCGATAACTTGCGGAATTTTCTCCGTGTCTGGATTTATTAATTTCTTTTATTTTCTACTATAAGAATGTTTGAAAAAATGCATTAATTTTTTTTTTTTAATTAAATTTTTTTTTCTTTTATAGGCACCATGTTTCCAGAATTTCACGACTGCGGATATTATCGAGTACAATTCAGCGTGGACTAACATTCCTGTTAGAACATGTTGTGATCATTGTGTACTCAAATTTTGATAAACCGCAGCTCCATTATATTTCTATAATAATTATATTTATTAAAAATTCAAAAACAGTTTTATATTTATTTAATTATTTATAATATAATATGTCAAGTTTACGTTTGGATATATTAAACTGCAATGACATATAAAATATATTATATAATATCATAATAATTGTTGTGAAATTATGATATTAACGGAAAATAATAAATTGTTAAATATATAGGTATGTAAATAATAAAATTCGGAGTATCTACAATCTACGCAGATCGACCGCAACGACACTATATAGTTTTATTTAATTAGACCCGCATTAGGTAATTCCATAAAATAGGATTAAAATAATTTTGTAGCCTAATTGCTTTCCGTTCTGCCGACCGTCACTATAATACTGGTTTCACACTGTTGCAATTTTTTGTATGCTTTTTCCCGCATGCTTATTTTTACTCGTGCAAGAACTAAATTGAACAAATGTAAACGCTGATAATACGCATACAAGTTCTTGCATGCTCAAACTTGCATGCAGTCCAACATGTTGGACAGAATTTGTATGCCAGTTTATTCTCGAACACGAATAGTTAACTGCGTGATCAATGTGATTGTGTTATATGAACTTTTAACATTTTTTTAATAATAATAATAATAATATTAATACAATTATTAATATAAATTATTTTATTATATTTTATATTATATATATTATATTTATCATTCGCGTTTCAGCTGTCGTTGTGTTCGGTTGGGTTCCTCCATCTACTCTAATCGCAGCTATTATTTATATTTATTGTATCTATCTCATTAGTGTATTTTAATTACCTTCATATGTCGTCGCCTTCGGGCGGCGACTCGCGGTCGGGTAAATCACCTGCTCCAAACAAAGTAAAATCTATTTTGCCTTCTATTCCTGCGACTGACCCCAGCTATACAACCTGTCATCTCAAAAAAAAATGTACGTAAGTCAAAAGACAACTCACTCTCACCTAAATCCCCTGAATTTCAACAAATTTTAAACAACACTCCGATGTTAAATACTTCGGCCTTCGATTATAATAATCTCTTATCTACGGAAAACAGTACGTCGCATGACTCGACCATTAACAACAGCTTATCTTCTGATAATTTTAATGATCCTACATCGCGCTCCGGTTCCGGTGCGATTTCAACGCCTATTACTAATACTACGTATTCCACTGATAACCAAAATGATATTATTATGTCGTCTCAATCTACACAACAGACCTTCACTGCTGATAATAACGGTCTCGTCATGATACTTATTGAATGCACCGATGTTAATAAAAATTTAGTTAATTGGCATCCGATTAAAGCAGTCAAATTTTTCTTCACTAATTTCAGCGGTATAATCAACATCAAACCCGCCGACGCAAAAAAAATTAAGATTATCTTCGACTCGATTTCGAATGGTAATCTCTGTTTGACTTCCGATGTTTTAAGCGAACGTGGCTTTACAGCTAATATTCCTTCGAACCATATACTCTTTTGGTAACATTAAACTCGATTCAGACTTCTCAGAGTTTGATTTCCTCGACGGTGTTCAATCATCTTTCCCAATCGTAAGCTTCAAACGTATATCGATCAAAAAAGATGGTAATATAGTTCCCACACGCATCGTTGAACTCAAATTTTTGTCTCCTAAACTACCTCAATATATTTCGGTCTACAATATGATCTTCGACGTCCATCCAAGCATTCGCTTTCCGGTACAATGTAATAGATGCCTACGTTATGGGCATACCCAAAAATTCTGTCGCAGCGATCCTCGTTGCAGTCATTGCGGTGTTTCCAAACATTCTATCACGGATTGCCCATCCATCCATACCACAAACCCGACTTGTCTCTTCTGTAAACTCTCACGTGTTGCTACAGACCGTAGCTGTCAGGAATGGTCAACTCAAAAACCTATAAAAAAAATCATGGCTACTGAAAATTTATCATATAAAGATGCTTTAGAATTTAAGAAAAATAAATATTATACCTCTGCTTTTAAATACACCGATGTAGTAAATAGTCAGCTTCCAAATCCCAATATTTTGAAACCAAATATGCCCCTTGATGAGGACAATTTTCTTAACTTAAACGAAAGCCATCATTTTTTTAATTCTAGAAAACCTAAACAGTAATCTGCTATACTACGTCGAATAAAAATAGAAATGTCTCATCCGCTGAACCTTTCTTTTCTTCCCCTAATGGAAGTTATTTAGAAAATATATCTAATCAACGTAACTCTATGGAGAATAACGATTTTTCTTGGGTACATACTTTATCCTAAAAACTTTCCGAAACTCTGATTAACTCTCACTCTCTATCCTCCCCTTTCTCCTCTTCTGCTCTTCAGTCCTTAATTGAATCTTCTCTATTTTCTTTACTAGCTACACCTAACTTCAAACATATCTCCTAAGCAACCTCCTATTTTTTTTTTTTTTTTAACGCAAGCATAATGTCTTCTAATGTAAATAATAACATTTTTGACAACAATCTTAATATTTTACAGTAGAATGTAAGAAGCTTATCAGCTCGTCTCCCTTCTCTTATATACCTTCTTTCTGTACAAAATTGCCTTGTTGCAATACTCTCCGAAACTTGGCTCATCCCCTCCCGTTATATAAATATCCCTTCCTTTAGAATCCACAGATCTAATCGACCAGATGGGTTTGGCGGCGTGGCCGTAGCAATCCATCTTTCTTTGAAATCCAGATTAATTCCTATTGATATGGCCACCAGAGACAATTTCTATAAACACAAAATTGACGCCATAGGGGTTGAAATCGTTTTGGACTCCCAACCTCCTTTAGAGATATGGTCCTGCTATATCCCTAGTAGTTCCAACGTTCCTTTTAACATCTGGTATTCTATTTTCAGTCTGATCTCTCGTAATTCTATACTTTGTGGTGATTTTAACTCCTTCCATCCCGCTTGGGGCTCTGCACCGCATCTCACCGTGGTAATATTATTTATAATATTATCAACTCACACCGTTTCAGCATACTCAATGATGGCAGCCTAACTCACGTCGGACGGCCTAATTCCATTGACTCAGCTATTGATCTATCCTTCTGTTCCCCTAACTTATATTGGAACCTTTCATGGCGCACTTTGTGCGAGCCTAATG